CGCGGGGCTGGGTGCCCTCCGGCAGCGGCTCCCCAGACCGCTGTCTCTGCCATTAGAGCGGACTTTCTTTTCTTTTTTTTTTTTTTAATATATTTTATTGATTTTTTACAGAGAGGAAGGGAGAGAGATAGAGAGTTAGAAACATCGATGAGAGAGAGACATCGATCAGCTGCCTCCTGCACAACCCCCACCGGGGATGTGCCCACAACCCAGGTACATGCCCCTGACCGGAATCGAACCTGGGACCCTTCAGTCCGCAGGCCGACGCTCTATCCACTGAGCCAAACCGGCCTCGGCAGAGTGGACTTTCTTGAGGGAGGACTGTTCATCCCCTGTCGGACGGGGTAGCAGGACCCAGGGTGCCCAGGTCACCTTGTACCCCTCTTTCCTGGTTGAAGTGTTTGAGATGAGGGAGTGGGTTTAAGGGGGGCTAAGCTAAGTGAGAAGGGGAATCGGGAGGGACTTGCGTCACTGGTCAGCTCCACCCTCTTATCTGCCTCAGTTGGTCCCCTGCTGAGGCCACAGCTGTCCCAAGGGGCCTGAGCACCCCATGTGTAGGCTAGTGGGTTGAGGACAGGTGAGTGCCGTTGGTCAAGCCCCCGGCCAGCCTTCTTAGCAGTTTTGGACGCTCACAGCTCCGTGTGCCATGAGGTGCCTTCAGGAAGGCAGCCAGGTGGCTGGCCAATGTGGGCAGGGGTGACTGGGGGACCTCCCTGGGGGAACGGATGATGCCAGTGCTGTCCTCAGAGTCTGGGGCCTTAGCAAGAGGGACCCTGAGGCTGAAGACGGGTGGGTCTGGGAGGGTGGCCCGGGTCCCTGGTGAGGACGGCAGCTCAAGGGAAGTCCAGCTTACCTATCTCTCCGAGCCGATCCCACCTTCCAGAGCTTGGACCACCCTTGGTGGTGATGGTGGGCAGGGTGTGGGCCTGCGTTCAGTGCTGCTCTACCTTGGGTGAGGGGCCTGGGGGATTGTAGGTGGCCTCTGTCCAATGGTGCCTCAAGAGTCCTGGCCGCCCCTTCCCCAGATCAGTGGGCAGCTCTCCCCTCGACTCTTCCGGAAGCTGCCACCCAGGGTGTGCGTCTCCCTGAAGAACATCGTGGACGAGGACTTCCTCTATGCCGGGTGAGGCTAAGGCCGGGCAGGGGGGTGGCTGGGTGGGGTGACAGGCTGGCCCTGACCTGGCCCCTCTGCCCTGTGCCCCACCAGACATATCTTCCTGGGCTTTTCCAAGTGCGGCCGGTATGTCCTCTCCTACACCAGCAGCAGCGGAGACGACGACTTCTCCTTCTACATCTACCACCTGTACTGGTGGGAGTTCAACGTGCACAGCAAGCTCAAGCTGGTACGGCCAGGCTCGGCGCCCAGCAGCGTGCCCCCCCTCCCCGCCCAGGGCATGCCACCCCTCTGAGCCTCAGTTTCCTTCAGAAAATGGAGATAGTGTGCTCACTGGGTCAAGGCTCATGTTAGGTCAAACCACATGAAATTGCCGTTGTTAGAGTTGAAAATGGGTAAATAGCGGTAATTTTATGAGGTTCAACTCAGCATATACAATCCATAGAACTCAGTGTCTACAGCTCAAGCCAGGTGGGATCCATTAGCTTTGTTATGACCAAGTGGGTTGCCCCACTGGCTTTAGCCCTGACCTTGACCCCCCAACCCCATCCCCAACCCCATCCCTACTCCAGGTGTGGGGGGTGCTGTTACCCCAGTTTACACATGAGCTCAGTGGGGTGGATGGGGCTTGGAAACCAATGCGTCTGGCCGAGTCCCCTCTGCTGGGACAGGGCTTCCTGGGCACATCCAGCCCTGGGTCCAGCCTTTCTGTTTCCCCCATTTGTGGACTGTCTCCCCAGCCTGTCCTCAGGAAGGCAGAGGGGTGCAGGCTGGAGGCTGCTTGGGACTCCCTGGCCTGAGACACCAGCAGAGGGGTGCGTCTGCCGGCCTCCATTCCTGCCCAGCGTGCTCTCGGGTGGGCTCCCGTGGACCTCTGTCCGCTCTGACCCTGCACTGACACGAACATGCCCCTCAGATCCGGCAGGTGCGGCTCTTCCAGGATGAGGAGATCTACAGTGACCTGTACCTGACGGTGTGTGAGTGGCCCAGCGATGCCTCCAAGGTCATCGTCTTTGGCTTCAAGTGAGACTCGAAGATGGGGAGGCTGAGGTTGGCTAGGGGAGGGCACACGGACCAGGCAGCTGAGGCTGTGCTTGCCCCCAGCACCCGCTCGGCAAATGGGATGCTCATGAACATGATGATGATGAGTGACGAGAACCACCGAGACATCTACATCAGCACCGTGGCTGTGCCACCGTCAGGCCGCTGTGCCGCCTGCCAGGAAGCCAGCCGGGCCCATCCAGGTGAGGGACTTGGGGTCCTCAGAGCTCAGGCCACCTGCTTCCTTACTCCAGGGTGGCGACTGAGCCCACGGGTATGTGTTACTGCAGGTGACCCAAGCGCGCAGTGCCTGCAACATGGCTTCATGCTGCACACCAAGTACCAGGTGGTGTACCCCTTCCCCACCTTCCAGCCCGCCTTTCAGCTCAAGAAGGACCAGGTGGTACTGCTCAACACCAGCTACTCCCTGGTGGCCTGTGCTGTCTCAGTCCACTCGGCAGGTAGGCTCCCAGGTGTGATGACAGTCACAGCATCTGCTGTGAGCCCTGTCAGGTCCGTCCTGTCACTACCTTATGTGACAGGAAGAAACTGAGGCTTGGAGAGGTGCCCTATCCACGGTCACCCAGCCCCAGAGTGTGAGTGTCGGATCCAGACCCAGTCTCACCCCAGCCGTGTCCTCTCGAACAGTGGGCCTGGCATGTTCCCGTGTCTGTGTCCACTACAGCCGCCACCAGTAGAAACATGAAAGTGGCCCATGTGACCAAGGAACCGAGTGTTTGACTAATTTTAGTTATGTTTAAAGTCACATTTGGGCCTGGCCGGTGTGGCTCAGTGGTTGAGTGTCGACCTCTGAACCAGGAGGTCACAGTTTGATTCCCAGTCAGGGCACATGCCTGGGTTGCGGGCTCGATCCCCAGTGTGGGGCATGCAGGAGGCAGCCGATCAATGATTCCCTCTCATCTTGATGTTTCTATCTCTCTCTCTCTCTCTCCCTCTCCATTCCTCTCTGAAATCAATAAAAACATATATTTTTTTAAAAAGGAATGTCACATTTGGCCCGCAGCTATCGTGCTGGACCACACAGTACTGCCTTCTCAAAAGGAGAACTGTTCATTCAAAATGTTAGGGAGTGGTGAGTGGACAGAGGGCCTTCTGCATCGTTGGTAATCAGAAGGACCAGTGAAAATCAGAAGGTGATGTCCCTTGACAGAGTGGCAGTCGTTAGAAAGCTGGGTAATGCCCCTGGCTTCTGGTTAGTGGAGCCCTGGTGGCTTCCCCCACACTCCCAGGGCTGCGTGGCAACCGAGTGTGATGTAGGCCCAGCAGCCCCGCGCCTGGGCATATCCAAAGCTGTGGTGGTGGGAGCGGGGGCCACCTGGTGTCCATTCCTGGGGCCGTGGGAGGCAGCAATAGGGTGGATCCGCAGACCCAGTGTGAGCTCCAACATCCTGTCCGGGGAGCATGTCTCAAAGTCATTTGCAAAAGAAATACAAGCTCTATAACCTAATAACACATCAATTAAAAATGTTTCAATTTTGCAAGAATGCAGTCAAATAAAAAGGTGCCCGCTAGCTATGTTAAAAGGGTCGCCCTGGGGCAGGAGACGGTGGGCATGAAGAGCGGACTCAGTGTCTAAAACGGCCCACACGTGCGCTCTCCCCATGCCTTTCCCGTCCCCCTCCTCTTCCCCTCAGGCCCGTTACCTTTGCCCCTCTCTCTCCTAAGCTCCAAAGACCCTTGTTTCCTGAGCCTGTGCAACCCCGCTGGCTCCCTTAACTACCTCTGTAACTTTCTAAACAAACTTTCTCTTAGCATTTGGAAAAAGAAAATGGAGCCCACAAACTAGCCAGGACCAGGGCATCTTGGGTCTGGGCCCGTCAGAGGCCTCCCACCCCTGCCTGGTCACCTATGCCCATGTGGGCGAGACCCAGCCCTGGTTAAGCTGCAATCCTCTAATGATGGGGCTGATGCTCCCTGCCCTCACGGTGTGGGTCCTGTTGGGAAGGACCATGTCAGACAGGACTCAGCCGTGTGCACCAGCCAGGGGATGGGCCCTGTCACTGATGTCTAAACACTCATCTCACCAGAGGAGGGTATTTTCAGAGAGTTTTGACTTGGCCACTTTCTAGTGGACAGGAGTGCACTGATGGACTCGAATGATCTTGTGGTGTGGTCCTGGACAAGTTTCTCTGAACTGAGGAGAACCACCCCACCCATCCCACCCTCCACCCCCTTGGCTGCTGGGGGTGGGTTCCAAAGGAGATGGTGCAGGCTGGGCACAGGGCCTGGCCTTGGTGCTGCTTAGTTCAGTGAGTGGTGGGGCTCTCGATGCTGAGCCGCCGGTCTGGCTCACTGGGGAGGATGGAGTGTAGTAAACTCTCAAACTTATGTGGCTTTTGAAAAAATCTTCACCCGAGGATGTGTGTTTTTGTTTTGTTTTGTTAGAAAAAGTATTTTTATTTATTTTAGAGAGAGGAAGGGGGTAGAGAGTGCGAAACAACGATCGCTTGCCCCAGCAGGGATCAAACCTAGGTATGTGCCCTGACCAGGAATCGAACCTGCCACCTTTTGGTATATGGAATCGAACCTCCAGTTGACTGAGCTACCCTGCCAGGGCGTGGCTTTTTGTGTTTTTTTTCTTTGTTTTAAAATTTTGTTGATTTTTAGAGAGAGAGGAAGGGAGAGGGAGAAAGAGATACTCAACGTAAGAGCATTCGGCTGCCTCCTGCACGTGCCCCAACCCAGGACCAAATCCGCAACCCGGATGTGTGCCTTGACTGGGAATTGAACCAGCATCCTTTCCAAACCGAGCCACATGGGCCAGGACTGTTTTCCATTCATTCATTCATTTTATGTATGTATGTATGTATGTATGGATGGATGGATGTGGCTTTTATCTGCTGTCACCGTAGACTGTCAGCTCCTTTTCTGTCTTGTTGACTCGTGTCCTCGGTGTGTGGCATAGAGTAGATGCTCACGAATCATAGAATGAACGTGTTCCTGTGCATATACGTGTAAGAGAGGCCTTTAAAACTCTTCTGGGTGTTTCATACAGATCATAGAGTATAGGCTTTTTTAGAACCGCCCAGGGTGGGAGAGAGGCCTGTACTTGAGCTTTTGTTTTGACTTTGGCTCACCCCAACACCTACATCTCTTTTTATATTCCAGGCGATAGCAGCTTCTGCCAAATCCTGTATGACCATACCACCTACCCCCCAGCCTCTCCCAGCTCCCTTGGGCCCCAGAGCCCAGAGGTGCCCCTGGCCCTCCCCAGCCTCTGTCCCGAAGTGGCTCCAACCCGTCCCTCTGGGGTCCCTGAGCCCTCACCCGCCATCGCCAAAGCCAAGGAGTTTGTGGCCGACATCTTCCGCAGGGCCAAAGAGGCCAAGGGTGGGACCTCAGAGGAAGCTCGGCCAATCTCCCACACGGGGCCCTCCGGCAGCTGCTGCCGCCCATCCTCTGAGCCTGTAGCCCCAGGTGGGGAGGTAGCACTCCAGGACAGCCCCCCTGCAGCGGAGGAGCCAGCCCCTGAGCCTGGCTATGTCAACTACACGAAGCTGTATTACGTGCTGGGGTCCGGCGAAGGGACAGAGCCAGAGGATGGTGAGCAGGGAGTCCACCCAGCAGGCAGGGCCCCGAGCATGGGAGGCTGGTCCGGAGTGGGCCTCAGGCCTCCCACCAGCCCTACCCCCTCTTCCTGCCCCTCCAGAGTTCGAGGATGACAAGATCTCCCTGCCTTTTGTGGTGACCGATCTCCGTGGCCGAAGTCTGAGGCCCATGCGGGAGCGGGCTTCTGTCCAGGTAGGTGCTGGCAGCAGACAGAACCAGGGGCAGCCCCAGGGAGCCTGCTAGGGTAGTGCTGGGCACAGTCCTCCCTCTACCCCTCCGCCACTGCCCACAGGGTCAGTACCTGACAGTGGAGCAGCTCACGCTGGACTTTGAGTATGTCATCAATGAAGTCATACGCCATGATGCCACCTGGGGCCACCAGTTCTGTTCCTTCAGCGACTATGATATCGTCATCCTAGAGGTGGGCCCAGGAGTGGGACAAAGCAGGTTCTGGACCTCTGCTCTGGTGGTCATCCTTAGTAGCTGTCTCTATCCACCCCTCGTCCCCCAGGTCTGCCCTGAAACCAACCAGGTCCTGATCAACATTGGCCTGCTGCTCCTGGCATTCCCATCCCCAACCGAGGAAGGCCAGCTCCGGTGAGTGGGCAGGGGGCCACACTGAGACCCTTCCATGTAGGAGAGTGGGGATGTGAGGAGACCCCCCCTGGCCCCCAAACTTGGATCAGGTACTCTGTTACTCCTCCAAAGACAAAGCCCCTTGGGGCAGTCAGGGTCCTCGTTCATGGACATGGTGGTCCTACCCCTTTCTCCTCTGTTTTCCACCCGCCTGCAGACCAAAGACCTATCACACCAGCCTCAAGGTGGCATGGGACCTCAACACGGGCATCTTCGTGACAGTCAGTGTGGGCGATCTCACTGAAGTCAAAGGGCAGACCAGGTAAGGCTGGGCTGAGGCCAGGGCCCGGGAGGGGGGTGCCAGAGTGATGAGATCCCTCACCCCTTTGCCCTCAGCGGCAGTGTCTGGAGCTCATACCGCAAGAGTTGTGTGGACATGGTCATGAAGTGGCTGGTGCCCGAGAGCAGCGGCCGCTACATCAACAGGATGACTAACGAGGCACTGCACAAAGGTAGGCCCTATGACCAATGATAGTAGGACGGGGTTATCCCAGTGCCAGGCAGGCCTGGAGGAGACCCTGACTCCTGTGCTGCTGAATGGACGAGCACGATGGCTGTGCTAATGGATGGCGTGGAAGAGGGGTGAGGGGCGGGCAGCCTAGCCAGGCATGCCGGGGGGCCAGCTCAGAGGGCATGACAGGTGTGGCACCGGAGACCTCCAGCCAGTTGCTTATTTATTCAGCAGACATTTATTGGGTGGCTGCAGGCAGGAGGCAGAGCTAACACAGCAGGGTCCCTGCCTTCCAGAACCTTCTGGGCCCAAATCAGGTCTAGGAAAGAGGGGAACTTATCTCACAGCTGGGCCTTCAGAGACTCCTCTGTCCCAACCCTTCCCCACAGGGTGCTCACTGAAGGTTCTGGCAGACAGCGAGCGATACACATGGATTGTGCTGTGAGGGTCTGGCCGGCCTGGACACTGACTCCAACTACCTCCGCGGCCTGGGAGCTGGCCGCCTCCCTGGCAGCCTCTTCTTGGTTGGCTGGCCGCCCAACGACCGCCACTAGTGTTAGGCTGTGGGAAGGGGGCTGGGCGGGGCAGCCCCTGGTGGCCTGAGAGTCTGGATGTTTCTTATTTATGCCTATTTAAGTTGGGAAGGGGCAGAGGGAGGGAGTCCCCTGCCCCACCAGCCTCGAGTGCCTGCCTTTATCCTGCACGGGGCATGGGTCTTTGCTCCTTGTGTATTTTCCCCTTCCCAGGTTACAGGTGTGGACATTGCCCCCTGGGAAGCTGAACAGACCCTGATTCCTGCCCCCAGCCTCTCTGACCTGAGATGGCCAACGTCGTGGTCAACCCCCGCCCCCCATTACTCCTCTTCATGTAATAAATGTTTTATTTCTGAACCTCACCGAGTTCCCTTTCCTGTGATCAGGGCAGCTGGAGCCCCAAGGTCCTCGTGTCCTCATCCCAGCCCCCGGCAAGGCCCTCAAGTCAGCAGTAGCCAAATATCACAGCGGAATTTATTGTTTTAAGAAAGACTACAAAAAGGTAGAAAACGCTTGGCACACTATAGACTACCACACTTTCACTGCTGGGAGGGAGGCCAGAGGGCATGGAGGGGAGTGGGCGACCACCCCAAAAGCTTGCAGCACTGCGGAGCACACAAAATAGTGATTTTTATACAATAGGTCAGGTTTTTTTCTTTTTTTGTGTGTGATTTTTGCCATAAACATCTATCTCACAGGTTGAAAACACTGAGAAAACCGAACAGATAAGGCCATGATGGTTGGAAAAAAACCCAAGTTACCAACTCCGCTTGGGCGGCACTCACAAATCGCACAATAGTCATGTGGGGGGCGGGCACACGGCAGGGAGAAGCACGGAGGTTCCATTACAAACCAGCCAGCGGCAGGATTGGTGGGAGAAATGCGGGGTGGTCTTGGATCTGAGCTAGCGGAGCCCAAGCCTTGAGGGCAGGCTACTTCTGGGCCCTGCTGCCGGCAGCAGGCCCCTCTGGGCTCCGGCACCAGGCCCAGCCCACTGCTCTTTGGAAGCTGGAGGCAGTGCCCCCTGCAGTCTTCCCTAGAGCCAGGCTGCCTTCCCCAGAGCTAGGTCGGGCAGTGCCCCCCTCTAGGGCTGTGGGGCAAGGGAGAACCCAGCTCTGGAGAAGATGCGACACCCACGGCTTTAATTGCACTTATACCAAGGAGGAGGGAGCAGTGGGGTTGCTGGGGAAGGGGTCCCAGGGCTGCTGCTGACAGTGGGGGGATCCCTAGGTGATGCCCACCTGTGCCCACCCGGGGCTCAGGGCTGGGCCCAGGACAGGCTGTGCAAAGCCAGCGAGCTGAATAAGTTAACAGGGGAGGGGGCCTGCCTGCCTGCCCCCTGAGGGGGGGAGGGAGAGGCTGCTGCCTTCTGGGTCAAGGGGCCAGGCTGCTGCCCCAACGGGCACCTGGGCACAGAGGCGGGTTCCTTAAGGCACGTCTTGTGTGTCAGTTTGCAGCTGTGGCTTTACCCGGCCCTGTGATTGTGCCGGTCCTGTCGGGGGTGGGACCCCCTTGACTTCCCTGTCTGGGAGGCCCCCTCCCCACCCTGGCCAAGGGCCGCGTGTGTCTGTCCGAGCAAGCTTGGTCGGAGGCTCCAGAGCCTCGGGGCCCAGCGCAGGAGAGGGAGACTCGCTGCCCGCCGCCAGTGAGATGTCCTGTGGCAGCTCATCCTCACTCTCCTCCTCCTCTTCTTCCTCCTCGTCTGGGAAACACGGACCAGAACCACTCAGTGCAGGGCGCTGCGTCCCCAGCCCCCTGCTGCAGGTGCCTCCTTCCCCCCAGCCCGCGCCCTGCGCCATCCCAGACTTGGGCCCTGGGCGGGGACAGGCCTCGCCTACCTTTGTCTGGGTCTAGGGGGTTCAGCGAGGTGGCCAGGTTGGGGAACTGGAAGGAGGGGAGAGGAAAAAAGGTGTGGGTCCCGGCAAGGGGTGCCCCGCCCGCACCCTCGGCGCTCCCTGCGCACCTCGCCCATGACGGCGATGGGGGTCTCTCCCTTGGCCTGAGCCACTCGGTGCTCGATCAGGTAGTACATGTACTCATCGTAGAGCAGCCGGATGAGGTGGAAGGAGCCGAAGCTGGCCGCGCTGCGCAGGGTCAGGTCCCTAATCACCATGGAGCTGGGGCAGCAGCGGGGAGGAGGAGTGAGGCCGGTTCCGCCCCTCCATCCCTTGTGCCCACATTCCGGCTGCAGGGTCCAGCAAGCCCAGCTACCCTAGCCCCGTCCCCCCACCGCTCCCGCCCCGCCAGGCTTCTGTGGGATGTGCACCGGTAAGAGGGGAAGGCCCTAGCTCCCCCGCCCCGCCCCCAAGACATCTGCCTTCATAAAAGACCGCCTAAGCCCCCTTCGGCCCCGCCCTCCCGGGTCCCCCCGGGGCGCACCTGTAGAAGGACCACTTGAGGAGGAAGAGCTTGGCGGCCTTGGGGAAGCCGGTGCTGCCCTGGTAGGGCTTGAGCACCTGGCTCACGACGCCGTCCAGCCAGGCCGCCCACTGCTCCAAGGAGTTCTGCTGCTGAAGCGTCACCTTGAAGTCCTGCTCCAGCCGCTGCACTACGCGGTCCTCGCAGCGGCACACCCACGAGGCCTGCTCCTGGGCACAGTGGGAGGGCGTCCCCCGACTCAGCCGCCGATCCAGGCTCACCCAGCCTGGCTTTCCTCTCACCTGCCCTGCCCTGCCCTGTGCTCACCTGCACGTTGGCGAAGTCCACTCGGTTGAGGTCGCTCAGCATCTGATTGATCTGCGCCGTGTTCTGCAGCACAGCGCGTGCCGCCTGCGCCAAGTGGTTAAGGGATGTGTACCGCCGCAGCGTCTGCGCAAAGGCGCCAGCAGCTGCCACCTGGGGGCGAGGGGAGGGGGGCTCGTGGCTTCCGCGGAACCCACACCCACTGCAACCTCTCCGAGCCCTTTTCTTCTCCTAAGTAGGATGGGGGTATACCTCATTGCTTTTGTTGGGAGAGCAAGAGGTTGGAAATTTCAAATTTTGGGTATCCACCCACCCAAAGCATGGGTCCCCCCCCCAAAAAATCAATGGTTTATACCTGACCACCATTATTATTATTATGAAAGGACACAACAGAAAATCTGAGTGCGCTGCCCAGAAAGGGCATTGCTTCAATAAATTTCATTCTATTATGTTTTCACTATTCCAGGGAATGTCAGCTCCACAAGGTGGAGTTTGGTTCATCTTGGTCACTGTTGTGCTGCCAGCACTAAGAACCACGCTGGGTATACAGTAGGCACTTAACAAATGTGTTTAATCAATGAATGAAACATGAGTCTTGCCAGTTCTGAAGTGCTTCCCCCTGGATCCAGCTTCTACTCTCTCCCACAGGCCCCCAGCCCTGCCTGTGTCCGGCGTATCCAGGGGTGATATTTTAGACATCAGTTCTGTTTAGCTGTCTTGTTAGCATTTTGCGAAAAGAAAAAAAAAACATGTTTTTTTCCTTCTTTGCTCAAGAGCAAGCACATACCATCTAATTCCTCACATCTAAGTAGTTGGTGAATGTGTAGCATTGATAAAGAGGGCTATTGTTCTGTTTCCTCATCAGTGTTACTCCTTTTTTTTTTTTTTTAAGATTTTATCTATTTCTGAACACTTAAAGCACTTTGTGTTGAGGTTGTCTGAAGAAAACTACTTCAAGTTTGCAGTTTTTGTGTCTGTGTGTGTTTTTTTAACTCCTCATGGGAGGACATGCTCAATGATTTCAGAGAGAGGGGAAGAGAGAGAGAAAGATAGATGTGAGAAACATCCATCAGTTGCCTCCCA